AATAAATGTTCAATCGAATGTTAATTTGGCATAAATTTTAATAATCCCCGATACCCAATTGGAGGCCCTTCCCCCACGCCACTTCTTCCCCTAGTGGAAGTCGAGGGTACTTACACCAAACAATGTGTAACGGTTGGACGAATCATCGCGAGGTTATCCCCTCCCCCCCCTCCCCCACTCTCTGCGGCGCTGTTTATCGTTAACACGATCCCGGATTATTTCCCCCTAACAATAACCAAGGGTTGGATTTAGACGATCGGACGGATACTCGCGGATTTCTGGTGTAGAACCGACGTAACACGGTAGTCCAGTTTCAAACGTGCTCCAGTGCGCGCGCAAACGATGACGTGTGACTCTTCCGTGACCTCACTGGAACACGGCTCGTAAATGTTAATCACCATTATACCCGGTGAACCTAATCCACCCCGTGGCGAGGCCGGTATACGGTGTTCTCCCCATTGGATTCCTGCATCAATTTTGCCAGCCATGTTTGCTAATGCAACTGCACGCGAACGGCCACGGTGTTTAACCTCACCAGCCTCCCCCTACATGTCGATATGAAAAATTCAGGCTCGAACGGCTGTATGGAACGATCGTAACGATCGTAAGTAAGCTTAGGCGTGTACCTAGGGGAGAAGGGACCCTTTCCATCAGGATTCATCGAGGAGATGTCCTCTTGGTGGAACATGAATTATTCTGGTCCTTTCCGTAGGCCATTTTCGAGTCAATTTTAACACCTTTCGCTACGAAGTATCTCGTGCTACTGTGTAGATGGCGCCTGCGTCTTGGGATACGGTCGAAGAAGGAAGTGTAGAGGATATTTAACTGGTTCTAGGATGGTCCATGTTGTTGGATTATCTGGATTGCGGTATTATCAAAATTTCGGTACATTTCAGTTATAGATGTTGATTATTCACTTTCATGGACCATTTCGGAGTAAATGTTAACACCTTGTACGAGGCGCTCCGTGCAACTGGGTGGAGCTACTTAGATCCCTAAGACAACTGAAGATAAGAAAATGTAGGGCATATTTATCTAGTTCTGGATGGTTTATGTTGTTGGATTACTGTGCTGTGATATTTAGGCCCATTTCAGTTATGAATCTTGATTATTCACTTCCACCGACCATTTTGAAGTGAATGTTAACACCTTGTACGGGGTGTCCTATTGAACTAGGTGACGCTGTATCTGTAGCGTCGATTTTGTAAAAAAAAAAAAAGCAGCCATATATGTTTCAAACGAACACGTTCTTATGTGTTGAAACTTGAGATGACATTATTGGACAGAACTTTCCGGTAAACCTAATAGTTTCCGGGAGTTATTCGGGCAACGATCACCGCGGAATGCGCAACAACCTGAGAACGAGTGCACACTCGTTCCCGCGATGCGACCGAAGAATTCCTTGTCCCATGAGAGACAGAAAATGGGGGGTTAGGGGGAGGGATAAATGTTTCACGAGGGACAAGAGTTGAAAACAACGTTGCAAACTATGATTATAATATCGCGGAGGAATGTTTTGGGTCGGTGAGGTGGAGCTTAATTGGAGCGTGGCTCGGATTAGCGGAGCGAAATTGGGACCGTTGAGTTGCAGTAAACCGAGGATCGTAGCGTTTTATGTGGAATCGACGGTGATTGAGGTTATTAAGCTGCGTCTACACTATACAGGATGTCCGATTTAAGTCGATCCCCTCGAACATCTCTGAAATTATTTGTGATACCGGAAAGTGTTTCAAACAGAAATTGAATGGTATCGAGTGGAACATAATTTGATGTTAGTAGTTGTGAACAGCAACCTTATGGCGGTAAAGATCGTATCGCTAGTACCACTGCGCTGATTTTTGGAATTAAATAAACCTCCTAAATTAATGGTTTCTCGGTATAAATAGGTTAATAATTTTTTGCATAGTAATATTTTCTACATGTTCGATTAGTGTTCTAATACTTACGATCGTGGGTGTATATACATACATACGGATTACAAGAGGGACCTATGCGGGATCTCTTGGCGAGGGGGCCTGACATTGTGTCAAGAAAACGAGCAGATGTAACGCAGTTTAAAGCCGGGGGCATATTCTAGCCGATCTTTTCCCACGCTCCTTCGAACCACGAGGAAGTTCAAGAATGGACCCAACTTCTTCCCTCCTCCCTCTTCCTCTTTTCTCCGTTTCTCGTCCTTTTTCTGTAAGATGCCCGCACTTCAACGGGCTGGCATTTATAATCCAGGCGGAGACAAAGGACCTAGGCAAGAACGCCAAGCTCTCTTTCTCTCCCTCCTTCTTCCAGCATTTTTAATGCCGGATGCTTCTCCAGCCGGCCAATTTCCTCGGGATTTTTTTTTTTTTTTTTTTTTTTTTTTTAATATTAACTTCGGGATGCTGGGCGATTATCGAAGGAAGGAAACGTATTTTATTGCATTGAATCTATAATCTGGGTATGATGTAACTTGTTTAGGTCTCGAGGAAAAGTATACTAAGATTATATTAATTGTGAGAGAAGTAATAAAAATTGTAGAAAATCTTAGAAGTAATGATAAGGTAATCCGTTATTCTCATACGGTAGAGAGAATTACTAGTTTTAACTGAAACAAGAAATTGTTAATAACTTTGAAAATATTAATTTTTCGACCAATATTTATCAGGATTTTTTTTAGATTACTCTGTATATTTTTCTTACCTTATATCATTCTATATACGCTCCTACTTTTTAGAACAAAATAACTTTCGAAAATCATTTTAGCATTGATTGTTTGGAAAAAAATCTAAAAAATCTACTCATTGATGCTGCACCAATGAAAAATATAACCTAAGAATTCATGGTCGAGGGTGGATGCAATTTTAATGTCTCTTCTAACCTTTAACCATACGCGAATCGAATCTCGGTCGAACGAGCGCTAGCTCGACGGTTTAATCTTTGTTAGATATCGTCGACTTTGGCGGCAGTGGCCGACGCTCCGAAAACGCTTTGCCAGGGAGTGATTTAATTACGCTCGAAGCGGCGTTGTGGAAGCAACGAGAGCGCTTAATTAATGAAATCTGTGCCAGCTGCTCCGTTCCGCTTCGTTCTCGCGTCCGTCGACGACGTGTCTCTCCCGGAAGTATCTCGAGACTCTTTTCAAACGAATTATGACACCCCTCCCCCCCACTTTGGGGGCGTTTGACTGTCGACGAGATCGGTTCACCAGGTTACATCCGATGCCAGAGTCACTGATGTCGCTCACCAGACTCGAAGAACTCGTTAGTGGCCATAGACTTGGAGATCTTCATAACAGTTATGAAACCTTAAGGGGGAACGCCACAGTGAAATTTACAAAAAAATCGGTTTTGTTTAAACGCGTTTTCTTAATGTTTAACTCATCAAAATCACTATCCCAAAATTTCAAGTCGATGTTGTGACCGAAAGTAAATTTTCGAAAATATACTCGGAGAAACAGTCGACCGCCATCTTTGCTCGAGCTGGAAATCTCTCGAAGGGAAATGTTTAACTTCCTGTTGTTACTTTAGCAGTGGTTGTAGGTGCGTTATAGTCTATTTAATATTTGCCTTTTTATTGTCCGCAATAGGTTAATCTTCAATAGATACCGTTTCTATTCTGGAGCGGTTATTTAATCCTCGGATCACGTGGCAGCGGCTGGCACCGTTGAGTGTCAGCCTCGGTAACTTTGCTCAGTATTTTCGCATACTTGCAGTTTACCATTCTGGGGAAACTTTCAGGCAGGCGTTGCTGCTGACATGGACCACTTACTGTACTGAATATCAGGGTGGGTTGAAACACATGACAGAGTTGAACCACTCCTCTTTATACTACGACAATAAAATTGTACTATGAATTGCCTTATAATTTCTAATTTTCCTGTTTATAGAAGTTATGAACCCGTTTTTTTGTATATTCTTTTTCATTCTGTTCAAATATACACTTCCGGTGAGAACTTTGGTATCAGTCTTCGGTGCAACGCGATTAGGGATTTCCACGGTAAATAAAAAAATTGAAACAAATAAATGTGAATCAGTGTTACTCAGAAAGCTCGCCTCTATCTTTTGAGATTAAATTTGTACTTTCTAGAATTTCGAGGTTTCACATAATTTCTGATTTTTCCCCAAAATCGTGCGTTCTTACAAAAACTCATATTCTTCGAATATCTGTATATATTCCATATTCCAGATCGATATTCATGTTAAACAGCGTTATTAAAAGAAATGAAGCAACGTATCCCGCGAGATGAGCCAACATAACGCGGTTGCCATCCGCGTTCTTTCCCGATGAGGAAATGATTTCCGTGCACGTATCATTGAGCAAGCATGCTTCTTCTTTTTTTTCTCTCTTTTTCTCGAATTCTTGTATTCTGGGATATTGACGATATTCAGTTTCCTACGCACACGCCTATGTTCCATTCCTCGAGCGTGCTTGTTGAAAGGATCGCGTAAAACGGTGGCCAAAAGGTAAAACGATCCTCGATAAAGTTTCACCGCTTTTGGTATTCGTAATCCTGTAATAGTGGAACATACTTACGACTATCCCATACCCTGATAAGTAGACTGCGAATTTTTATGCAAAATAACATTTTCTAAAGTAATTTATAAAGGCAGGAGCAAATGTAGAAATTTATTTTTCCTCTTAAGTATCTTATTGGGTTCAGATTAAAATCGAAATCTCAGATCCGATGAAAGTTTTGCCTTCATTGGATTTCACAGGGCCCTATATAGGCTGTAAATTCATAAAATCTGCAGTCTACTGATAAGCCTATGAACATTCCAACTTGGAATCAAAATCAATTGTCGCATTCATCGAGGAATCACTGTAGCTCTTAATTTTCTATAACACAAATTCGCATAATACTGCAATTTTTTACAATCAGAACCACCTTGTTATACGAGTTTTATATGTACTATACTTATGAAATACCCTGAGTCTTTCTATCCACTCAGTGATCTACTAATGAGAAACAGAAGACGAAAAATCCCCGGGAGCGACTCTTAACCACGGCGACTTGGTTCACGTTTCAGGCCTCGTAGCATGTCTTGACGAGTAGGAGGGGCTCTTCAACGGGGTTTTCGGCAGACAAGGGTTCTCCAAAATGGCGGGCGGTCAGCAGCTTCCCGAACAGTACACGGTACCGCCGCTCGCTCGGGTCTTCCACAGCCTGCCGCACCTCAACGTCTCTCTTCACTCGGTCAACAACACCTTCAATCCACATTCCGAAATCTATCTAGAGGTAAGCTGGATCACATCACGTCTTCGTTTCGAAATAACATTTAAACCCATTTAACACCGATTTCCGTCTTTTCGATCAATTCTCTTGTGATTAAGTAGTTCTCAACTTAACTGGCCACCTGGGCCCTCATGCATAATAATTTACCGATCAATAATATTAGTGACTTTACAAATTACAAGAGATTTTTGGGGTTTTTACAGTTACAAAAGATATTCGGGGGGTCACACTTGAATGAGACACCCTGTATAATATAGAAGTCTGTGGGTTAAATCACAGACGAGGTATAGGAGTAGACATTTCATCCAATATATTTTTGCGGCCCACTTTTCAGGGGTTATGTTACCCCATTTTCATTTTAGTGTCACTACCCATCGTAGATTTACCGTTCTCATAACGTAGAGGTCACTAAAATCACAGGTCTCTTAAGGTGTCGGTACTGCAGTTTAGGTGGGCCACCAATTCCCATAAAATGAAACGTCTATTCTTATACCTCGTCTATGGTTAAATCTAGAAAGCAATCGTTGAAACATTACCGCCAACAAACGAAATTTCTAATTCGAATGGTTTCACGAGAATTCCCTACGATCTTCGAGACCTCTTTCCGTACGCCACGGATTGTTCATGGAGGTCGTGGATAAGCTACGGTAAAAATGGATCGCGTGTCGCACGGTTAACAGGGTTTCTTCGCGATCGCCAATCCCACCGACGCGACGCCGCGGCTAACGTCGATATCCGAAAGCAATTCCGCCTCGAATCCCGTTTTGGCGACGGTACAAAGCGTGTTACCACCGTTGATTTCAAAGAAAATGGCCGCCCCCGATCGTGTATGTGTGCCCTTGGTTCCCTTCGTTCCGCGGAGGAAACGACCACCGGGATGATTCGTTGGCAATGCTTCGCGAACTAGGAACACACCCACCCATCGAAGGGATACGTTTGGTGCACTTTAAATTGGGAATGAAATGGGATAATGGACGGCGGTTGGATGTTGAAGCTTTTATTTGGCCCCGATGAGGACATCCTTTGGGTACTTTTATCAATTGTTCTTGGGTAATGGCGAAGTTTCGGAACACCTTATATCCCGAGCGGGATCCAATCCTCCGAGTCTGTCTTAATATCGACAGTATGAATTGGTGGAGATGAGTTGCAAGATATTTTCTAAAATTCTTTTATTGTATCTTTTGGAACCCTAGATTTTTGTAATTTGATACGTCTAAACGGTATTAAGGGTTTACTATCCAATTACGCTGAAACAACAATTTTTTTGGTAATATTTAAATAAACGATGTGACGGATATTACAGCTCATTTCATTCATACATATAGCCTCGGTATTTCCATTCTTGATTACCGGCGGGCGGAGCGATGGTAAACGCGTGAATTACAAATTTAAATTTAAATAGCCCTCGGCCGCGGGCTTCACGAGTTTCTCGGGCCCTGTGGTTGTTCTAATTGCCGCAAAAAAAAAGTAGGTATGCCTCTAGAAGGAAGTTAACACCGTGTATATACGGTTCAAGTCGACACGTCGAACGTTTGAAGACGAGTTCCGTTTTTTCTCTCCGTGCGTCGTCCGGTTGTTTTATCGATCAAGATACGAGCGCGTCTACAAGCATGAATCACCCTTGTACCTTTCTAGAAGAAGATACCAGTGCTTCGCATGGCTTCACGTGTCTCTCGTAAAGAATTTTTTTAGCGATGTGTCGTCACCTTAGGTGATGACATTCTGCAAAATGGTGCTCTTTAGGCCTTCATTCGCGAATAAATCGACTAAGTACAGTAAATCCTGGATGAGTTTCCGAAGGCTCTTCGGCACTGAACATTAAATATTTAATAAACTAATGGCCATATGCGGCTAAAACAAATATCATTGGCTTTGAAATTTCAATCTCTATCACCGTGCCGAACCTCATTAAAAAATCAGCCTCACACCTGAGAACACTCGTCGATAATTTACTGTAACGTAGGTTTTTGTAAACGTATAAATAGAATTAACCAACTCCAAAAGAATTGTCGTTACTCGAGAAAAAAACGTATGCTTTATTTTTAATTTGTCATTAACAAAACTGTAAAAATAACAATAATTAAATTACAATTTAAATGTTTATTTATGAACACCTATATCATATATATTTCACTCTGAGCTATCAAATTGCATAAATTTCAAAATAGTTAATAATTACTTAGTAATTTTTTGAAAAGAAAAATTATAATAATAGGGTCCCTAACGGTATTAAGCCCCACAGTCCAAGCACCAAGAGGGTTCAGTTCACCAAAAAATCACGTGGTCTCTATGCAATTTAGGATCCATTTCTCGTTGGGGCACCGTTCGATCAAGACCAGCTGGATGCCTTCTGGCGGGAATATTTTTCAGCGGTGTCCCCAGTCACGGTCGTCTGTCCCGAAGAATAAGATGCCCTGGACGGCCGAGAAGACAGTTCCCGGCGTGGCTGTCTTCCGGCACAGGGTATATTTCTGTTTTCTTGTCCCGGTTGAGACCGACGGCTGTCCAAAAGGCGGCAAGCAAAAGCTTCTGCTTCGGGAAGAGAATCATACGGTTCACGGTTGCCGTGGTAGAGGGCAGGTGGGGGCGAAACAGGGAGGGTGGGGGGATATCTATATATATATATATATGAGAACGGTGATGAGAAACGGGTCGGAAGAGGACGCGGAGAAACGCAGCTGGATGCCGCGAGTGCACGGGAATCCAAGCTGTGTGTAACTGGAAAGCACAATGGCCCGGGAAAGCTCAAACAATGCACAAAGGCTTTCGTATAATGTGCCCGGGGCAACGTGTGGGCTTTAACGGGCTCGGGACGTCAGACCGCTAACTAGCGACGGGTTCGAGACGATTCGTGTGCAAATCAGCCTGTGAATTAATGGAAATTACAAATTCTGGAGATAGATTCCGGATTCGATGCGGGAACGCTGTCGTTCCGCTGTCCCTGCGATGTTTTATCTGGTGAAACTGGATCTAGCGATGGGTTTGAGACCATTAGAGCACATTTGCACAGTTCGTAGACCGTGCCTGTTTTAATAACTTCCATAAATATCCACCGTCTCTTCAGAACTACCCAAATCGATACTCTTGTTTTCAATATGTTTCTAATTCTAAAAACAATTGGTTGTTTTTTTTTCTCGGAATTCACGATAGGCTCGTATCCATCGCTACCATCTGAGCTCCCCTCCCTCACCAAGCTTCTTGCCCCCTACTCCACGCCCATCGTCGAGAGGTACGAGAAGCACGATCGCCTCGTGCAACGTCTTTCGTTGCAGATGTCGAGTGCACGAGAGCAACTTATTGGGTACAGAGTCAGGGAACGGATCTCTCTTTCTCTCTTCCTCTTTCGTTGCTCTCAAGCAGTTCGATTGTCGCTCGTTTCGACGCAGAAAAACGGCACCGTAGGTACCCGGAGACGTTGATCTTTTCTTCTTTTCCCAAAAACGATGGCAGTACGAACTTCTTCCTAGAGGTCCTGTTTCCTATATTTTTAACATTTTATATACGTACTGAATTGCCTGAAATTTAACCCTGGATCACTAAACTATCCTGTGACTTACGTTATTACTAATCATTTGTAAAAATTACGACTGAACACGTGATATTTAAGAAAAATATTATTTTCATTGAGGTAGGAACCTACGTTCTATTTATGATAGTCAGACTTAAAAATAATCCAAAACTGAGACGGTAGGTAATTATTCAGCACCTGTTGGACACATGTTGATAATATCGATCACAACGTACCTCGATTTTTGTAAATCGCGAATTCGACATCGTAACTTCTATGATTGTTTAGTGATCTAGGGTTAAATACTGCAATCTTACTAGTAATATCATTCAAATTTCTCTAAAATCTAGAAGAAAAAAAAAACGATTGTGTCTATAACCCAATCGTATACACCCAGGGTGAGCAGCATCTGTTTCGACGAAGAACAGTGCCAGTACAAATACTCTTGTAATACTTCTTGTAAAATCTATAATATCTTCCCCCAAGTTTCGTTTAGTTTCAGTTGTATTTCTAGAATTTTACGTGTATCGTGGTTCGAATACGTTGGTATCGATATGAGCAGCAACCCTGGGTTCTGTCGCTACACCCACGATACGTTTTGTACTTCTGTTTCACTCTCCTCGCGTCCGTATTTCTTATTCCTGCACGCTTTCAACCACTCGAAAAAGAACGACTTCCTCCGCTTTATTCTTCCTTTCACACACTTCGCCCCTTTTTTTCTGTCACTAACCGTACTCCCTCCCCCTCTGCCACCGTTTCATTGCCGCTTTTTCTGCCTCGCTCGGTCGGTAAATACACCGTTCCTCCTCCCCCTTCTTATTGCTCTGTTTAACTTTCTCCCTCTTTCTCCCTCTTATCGCGCGTTACACGCAGAATTTTCACGTCCTCTGTTTTTATATTCGCTACCCGTTCATCTTATTTCCTTGTTGGATCTCCATCTACGTGGGTCGCCTGTGTTTTATATTCCCTCGTAGCTTTCAGTGTTCCCTGGAACGAATGAAATCGTTTCGGTGACGAATTTAACAAATCCACCGTACACAGGATGATAGAACGACGGCGGCCATCTTGTCAGAACTGATGAATTTCAGAATAGAAGTAGGTACTGTCGGTATCGGACTTGTGGAATTGGAATATTTCGCCGTGAAGTGTCAATCGTTCGTGACCAACAAGACGTAACCGAAATATTCAATGCCGGCCACCGTCACGGAGATGAATCCATTAACGATCAGACCCCGTTTTTCTCGAGCGACCACCGAAAGTGATTTACAAATAGCTGTATCTCTTCCTGTAAATAGACACTTATACCCAGTGCAAAGATAGTCCCAACTGTTTCGTCAGAAAAACCAGGTTGCCATTTGTCTTTCGATCAACATCGAAATCGAAATGAATTTTAACGTTTAGGGCCGATCCACTTGTTCCACGATTAAAAAACAATCCTGCAGTATCGAAGGTAAAGTGAAGTGGCCACAGGGACTATTCGTGGAGCTCCCCCTTCACTCTTTCTCTCGTTCGTTCTCATTCGTCGAACGTGAATCGGTGACGTCGAGGGTGTGCGAAACTCGCAACCGGTGTGTACACACACATTTCTCTTGCACGCGTCGGTAGGGTAGGTACCCGGCGAAGGAGAGAGGTGCCTCGAGGAAACGCCTGTCTGAGCACCCTCGACGCAACACGAGCCCTGGTAATTGGGTGCCTGGCTATTGTTTCCGTAGCTTGAAAATATTTTGCGACGGCGTTCGTGTCGCAGCGCCGCCATCCGTCGAGTAATTATATCGGGAGATCCCGTTTTCTCGTAACGTTCGCGCCGTTTCCTTGTTACCCTAACCTCCGATTTGTCTGTTTGTTCAGGCGATACGGGCAGGGACGATCGTTTTCCATAGACGCTCACTTAGAGACATAATATGGTATAAATGATTTTTTTTGTAGATGCCATAATGAAGGAGATTTCAACGTAATTTCTTACGAGATATTCCACTGGACTGAATAAAAATGGACCACCCTATAGATGAAACGCATGACTACCCCAAAAGATACCGTCGCGCTTCAGCTAGTTAACAGGATTTTCGTTCTGAAAGGTGTATCGTTCGCGTATACGCCCCGAAAGAAATCGGAGAAAAGCGAACAGGGTCGTTACCCTCGGTCCCTACCGCCTCTCGCTCTCGTTCTATTTTCGGATTAGCATAACAAGCAGGCAATATGACAAGAGCTAATTACGCCGTCGTAATTTGAAGTATTACCGTCACGCCACGTGGACGGTTTAGCGCTGATGCGTGCGTAAACGGTAACGTTCCCGGTCGAGATTATCCGTGAAATGACAACTAATTAATTTCCTCTGGATCACTGTCCCCCCCCCCCACCCTTTCATCTTCAAGAAGTGTTTATTCTGTTTTTGGCTCGACGAGTACTCCATACTAATACTTTGTACTGATACTTTGTGATAATACTTTGTATTGGTACTGTGTAATGATACTTTGTACTAATACTTTGTACTGGTAGTTTATACTATGGGGTAGTTGAGTGTCGCCAGGGAGAAACGTAGTAACGCGTTTTCAGCAACGTCGTAGGAGGGTCCCGAGCCTGTATTTCGGTACTCTTCCAGGCGTTCCATGAGGCTCGAAAAAGAGAATCCATTTGCGAATTCACATGCTACCCCGCGAAGTTTGAGCCCTCCTCCCCTATGTCTCACTTCATGTCGAGCCCTCTTCCGGATTTATTCCAGGGCTCGCGCGTCGCGCAGTAGGTGCAACGACCGTCTTCCCTCCGCCGTGTGTTCCGTAAACACTGAATTTCTGTCTAGACGCGATCCGAGTTCTTCAGTTTCGGGCCACTTCCTACCATCTCAAGGACTGAACTTTTTTCTACATTTTTTTTTTTTTTTAATGAAAACCATACACTCTCGACACTGTGCCTTTTATGTTTCTGTATACATAATGACGGTTCTGGTAACGATGTCTACGATACCGTAAGTACACTCCCGGGCATAAGTAGTACGACACTTATCGAATAGGTACGCGGTAACTGTTGTAAGGCGTTACGAAATCGTTGAAAGTTTCAAATAAACATTGGTCAGAAGATATTAACCGTTAGGCTTCGGGCATTTTTTCGTTAATAAAAAGTGATCTTTTTTTGGTTAAAAATTTATATAGATATAACATGCGCGCTGCTCTGAGCTTCGAGTTTTGTCAGTGTTCCAAAAGGGATACCTCTGATAGCCTGAAGGAAAAAGCATGATGGAGAATTTCGAATTTGCATAAACATCCCATTTATCGCATTATCGCCAAATGCTTAAATGTTCGTAGAATGAATATTACCGTTGCTCTCTGAAACGTCTCAGCTCGTACATATTACGTCCATGAAAATTCCTGTTGAGTGAAGTTCGCTCTAAGAGGGGAATGGTCGTGGAAACGGGCTCGAGGAGGGAAAACTTAACATAAATTCACGCGAGGACGAGCGTCCCTGTTTCATTCGTCCTCGACCACTCCGACCAGTCTCTCCGTCGGCGAAGTTTTCGACAGAAACGAGAAACAGATATCACCGTATCGTGGTTCACGATCACTTCCGTCTTCCGGTTCGGTCAGGATGGCTGTGGGCGTGTCCCTTTTGTTCGTCTTTTTTTCCGACGAGTTCGAAAAATTGCGGGATCCTTCGAACAATATCTGATCGACTATCCTTTATCAAATTGTCCACGTACAGTTCCAGACAAAATTTTATTCCTGGAAAGTTTATTTTATGCTTTCATCGATGCACTAAATTCGAGGCTGGAGAGAAAATGATCCGATGGATAATTATTGATTCTGACTGTGAAATCGGTTGGTAAATACAGAAATAACCACAGCGAGTGTAATCATGGGATACAGTTAACTCGTGAATTATTCATCCCAATATTATTACGGTTTTGATTACGAATCGAACTGTTTATTGGTGAAACCGTAACTGGGCTATGTTAATAATACTATACATGAGTACATTGAATAGTAATGGTTCGAGTAAAATCTAAAAAAAAATCTATGGAATTACCACAAATTAATGATTCATAATTACAGATTACAAATGTTAATCATTGGGATTAATCAATTTATTTTTATTTATTTAGTTTAATTAATATTACCTCTACATATTTTTTTTTATAAAACATCATCACAACGTAATCAATCAATGCAGTTGTACTCTTTATGCTTTAGATAATAAGGACCATTTTTATCATTATCATCAAAGTAGAACGATGCACAGACGAGGAAAAAGTGGACTGTACCCACTAGAAACTTCTAAGTACCATCGAGCGACTATTATGTTCCTTCGAGTTGCAGGGTTGCGATCCCATAAGAAGTTAATCGATGTCGCGTAAATAATGAACGCAATAACGTGCCACACTCTCGGGTCGATTCACCGTGCTCCACTGGGTGGCACGCGAACTCCGGTGGGGGGTGGTTGACCCCGCGACATGATGCAGGCTTTTGAGTATCGTCGCAGAAAAATCAAATTTTCCACGGACCAACGACGGCTATGCGTAGAATGCCTTTCAGAATAACGAGATTCACCTGTGAAACGGAATGTACAATTTTCGATTAATTTCGGATGCACCTCGGAGCCGAGCGCGTTTCTCTATCGTAGCAGGACTCAGATTAATGCATTTATATTGTTGCAATATAGGGGATCATAGGGGAAGGGGTTACCTGTGCTTCAGCTTGACTTGACCATGATTTACTGTATTTCAACATCGACACGACTGTGTGTCAACCTGATTGACGACTGTACTTCAACTTGGCGTTGTTGACAAATCTACGCAAAGCGTCGAATTTTCTTGACCAGCAGGTTTCGCAATACTCTTGAACCGGACTGTCCACGCGTCTCCCTTCGAAGCTTCTTTTCCCACAGAATTACCTCACGGGATGCTGTAATGGAAACTGCCCCTTAACGACCTTGAACAATCCAGTATTTTCGACAAGGACTTCGGGCGTACCCAACTACCACTCGATGGCCTCGTATTCCACATTGTAATTAAAAGAACGGGAGGGGATATCGATTCTGTAATCCATTACGAGAGGGTAACATTATCGCGAGAGTTGCACCGCGAAGGATCATTAACATTCATTGCTCCCGGTGCCATAACGCCCGATCTCAGCCTTATGACTCACTTTATGACTCACAAGCCAGTATCCTCGATAACTGTCCCCGCCGCCGTCGCCGCGTGAACACGTATCCGATAACACCTCGAACATCCTTGGCTCGGCGTATTAATTAGCAATAGGAATACGAGGACTCTTCTTTGGTGTACACGGTCCACCACCACCCCCGGGCTAATAATAAGTTCCGTTCGAGCATATCCTGCGGTCTAATTAGCCGAATCCTCGACCCGTGACTCGCCGACGCGATTTAGTTCGACGTTCAGATTATCGACTGTCGGTTATTAACCACGTCGGGGATTGCGATCTCCGTTTTACTGGAAATACTAGTCCGACCATCAGGGGGCGCTCCCCCCTCCTCCCCATCTCACCGTATTCCTCGTGTTTATCGCGGTTAGGGAATTCCTGTCCGTTGAAAACTCGGGTTTGACCTTAATTAACGGTACACGGGGCCGCGGGAAGACATTACCACCACAGGGGTGGTAATTAAAAAGCGTCCGGGTCGTTAGGGAAATTTCGAAAAAGTAAACGTCGAGTACGACTCGCTGGATCTAACGAGACCTCGGAATGCGACCAGATCTGACGCGATTATTATCTTCGATTAAAGTTGATGCCAGGTCACTTTTGACCCATACTTACGTTCCTGACGTGGCAAAAGGACGCAACGTTGTTTGAAAATCAACTAGAGATGAAATGCTACTTTACTTCTAAAGAAAATATTTCACGTGATCCGATGAAATCCTGCCCGTATAGAGAGTAATTTCACGGGTATATACCGGGTGTCAGGAATCTGTTAATCGTGGGGATGGTGAAGGCCCGGGGACACACGCGGTCGGTAACTAACGTGCAACTTTTTGGATCGACAGAGCCTCGGGATACTTGGCAGTATCCCCGCAGCCTGGTTAATCCTGACGTTGCTGGTGTTGCTGGTATACCTGGTAACGAGATGCTGCGACCGGAAGCCGCGCCCCAGGAGGTCGATAACCCTGCTGAAGTGTTCGCTGGCCATCCTTGCGTTGCTCTGCAGCGGAGCGGTCGCCGTTGGCCTCTATGGTAACGACGACGTCCACAACGGTCTGGTGCAATTGGTGGCCGCGGCGAAGAACGTCGATGGCATTCTGATGGGTGTACGGAATCAGGTTGGTATACGAGCCATTATTGGTTCGATATTCCAGAATACAGAAGTAGAGAAAATAACAAGTGGGATGAAATTGAGTCGAGTACAGTAATGTCTCGAATGTCCTCGAAGGCCGGACCCTTATTACACGGTCAATAATAATACCAGTCGGTATTAATGTGCGTACACTGACGATAATACTGATTGCATTGGTGGCGATGGATTGTGCATTAACGTTGATCTGGATTTTCTGATCCTTGAGTATCAGTATCGCCTAGTGGCCGAGATATTGACAGTAATATCAGTGTATATGCAAACATCGCACGGGCACGTATTGCGAGACGATATATGGGGGGTAACGTCAAACCGTTCCGACGTTCTTTCGTGATTTCCCAGTATATAATACCTGATTAGGATTTATGTTGAACAAGAAAGACAAACTGTGAGCCCAAACACTCCCGTCAAATCACGGTAATGTATTGACTGTTTAAGGTCCCTGGTAACCCTTTCCCCAGACATTAACTTGACAGGAAATGTAGTCGAAAACTGACGAGTTTGAAATTCGGTCGTTACGCTTGAAACTGAAGGAACGGTAGGTACGGTCATGGACCTACTTTATCAACCGAGTCGGAAGTCCTTACTGTACGACTATGTCTTCGCTGTGTCCGTCTTATACAGGATGGTGGAGTTTATTCGCCGCCCAAAGCCCCTCAAATATCGACTTAATCCGTATCTTCAGTGAGACGGTTAGATAAGATCTTTAATTAAAAAATGGAATCTGTCTCTGGGTGGCGGGAAATCGGATTATTTATCTCTGGCACGGATCTGGCTCGTTTATTTTTCGGGATTATTTCCGTTACGGTTGTCCGCAGGCTCCTCCTCGCCATTCTTGACCCAATTCAGAGAACGCTTGCGCGCGCGCGAGCTAAGGCACAATTTGGAACGTGGGGAAATATGGAGCGCAAACTAATTACGCGGTGGTTGCGGGCTCTACTTCTCGAGATTAAAGAGCGGACGCGTACCCCGGCGACGCTGAATGGAGGAACCAGCAAGTAGTAAGAAAAAAATTGAAGTAGAGACGCATACGACAGAACGTATACGTATATAACGGGACGGGGATGAAAGCAGCGACAGCGTAGAAACATTAAAGGAGATACACTCAGAATGGACCCGAAATTGTGGTAACACTCGAAAAGGAGGTTACTCCACTCGCGAGATTTACTCGGAAACATTGAGCGAGCGAAAAAAAATTTCCCCTTATTTTCGCCCGAAAATGCATTCCATTCTTAATTGTAATTAATTAATGACAGAAATGTGTTTGAAGAAATCGTTAGTATAACTCCGTAAGAAATACTGATACCAGTACTAGCTGCAACACTAAGAAAATACTAGTATACTTTTTCCAACGGGGCACTTTTTCTACCTGCATACACCTCGACGATCGATAGGTCATGTTAGTAGGGATTTTGTTTCGAGATACTAACCTGGCCCTGAATTTCATTCCACATGTTATGATACACCCTGTAAATGCCTGTTATGAACCTTTCAAATTATTTCGTTCTCTTTTATGATATTCCGACGTTTCGAGTGACGTATAATCGTTCTGTTCAAGACCGACACCATAGAGGCGACGTTGAAGAAAAAGATCCAGCCGGAGCTGATCGCCCTGGGGGACGAATTCGACGATCCAGCGGGCAACATGACCATGCTCAGCCTGCTGCTGCTCGCGCTCAGTAACATGAAGCTGAACACAAGCGTCGCACTGAACCAGAGCTTCGAGATACGAAAACCGCTGAGCGGGATCAGCCTGGCGGGGGCGATCGGTATGGGGGAGAAGATCGAACAGTTTAGGTGGCCCATCACCATGACTGTTCTCAGCGCACTTCTTGTTCTCTGCGTGGTGCTGGTAGTCGGTGTCGCCAGACATTCCAGATGCATTCTCATAACGTACGTGTGTTTTGCTTTTATTCAGCTGGCAAAAACCGTGGCGATGGGATCCGTCTGGATTTAACTAGATCCGAACCGTCTCCTCGAATGGGGTCGATGATCTTTCGCTAAGCTTCAGTTATATCGGCGAGTAGCTTAGAATCAAGATGCACTAGCTGCATTGTAAAGAAATTCCTGTTTTTAATTTAAAGATGGATTAGAGAAGTTGGGAACGGTGGCGGAATTATTTCAATAAGTAGTGGTGTTGTCCTAAAATTTCCTACTCTTCGTAACAAAAACAACTGAGATCTTCATTGAAAAAATAGGGAATATTATCGACCCCTGTTTGTGCAAAGGCTATTAATCAAGGAAAGAAATGTAATGCTCCGTGAAATACATCAAAAGGAATTGATTTCTCCTTCTCCAGGTTCTCCGTGTTCGGTTTGTTCGCGGTGATAGTGTCGTGGCTGATGGCCTCGCTGTACCTGGCGACATCAGTGGCCTTAGGTGATCTCTGTGTGTCGCCGGACGGTTACCTAACCAGAGCAGTACCCTCGACGCTGGCCTCCGAGGTGCTCTCCTACTACACACACTGCGAGAACACGCGCAGCAATCCCTTCACACAGCGACTGCGGGACGCTCAGCGCACGGTCGGCGACATGCGGCAGAACCTGAACACAATAACAAGGTTGGCGTTGGAGCTGTTCGAGGACCAAAAGCTGCAGCCGAAGCTGAGCAGCCTCTCGACCCACGTGAACACCGTCGACAGACTGATATCGGGCCTGACCACGTTGCTCGACTGCAAACCCCTCCACAAGCAATACGTTCACGCCGCCAAGAGTTTATGCCATTTGGGGCTGTAAGTAGATCCCCAGATTTCAGAAGACCTGCAACTCTGCGTCTATATCTACATATAGTTTTATCTCCTTTATACTTTAACTACCAACCCCAGTACTCATCAGACTTTCATAGTCCTTTCTCAATATAAACTTTATATTTCTAACAAGTCAAAACTTATCAGGGAGCTTGGGTTCTAGCATCAGACCAGAAATCATGTCGTCCATGTTAATCAACATTAGATTCCCGATAATGGAAACATATCAGGTTTTATTCATGACTCAACCTACTTCCAATCAACAATAATCCACTACACAACACGCGTCTAGTTGCTTCTGTCACTCATTGCGAGTATGAATTATGCACCAAGTGTTCATAAGCAACCCAGATTAATAAGTGATGTAATTCCTCAGGTATGGGTTGACCTTCATGCTGCTGGCGAGTCTAGCCGCCGGCCTCTTCTTCACCGTGTTAGTCTGGGTGGACTCTCACACCTGGATCTATATACGGAAACGGTGAGTGTACATGTTTTAGCAGGCACCAGAGGCAGTGTCATCTGACCAGGCGTGGTGTAATTGATGACGGGTTTGTTCTAGAAGAGATTACCACCAAGTGGACGAGCAGGACCCGTATCTACCGCCGTCGGCAGCCTCGCAGGCGATAGCAGCGCGGACCCTTCGAGGCCAAGGGTCGTACCCGCCTACAGCCCCTTCTCTTTATCCGAATGCTCATGGCACTCAAAATACCATTAAGCAGCCTCTCTTGCTAACGCCGCCCCCGCCGTCCTACGCTACTGCGACTGCTCGAGCACGTCAGCTGCACGAGAGCATGTTAAAGTTTGTGCATGAGATTTTCTTCGGTTTTATTTCTTAGCCACCTCTAGACCCCTGTTCAGGCGCATCAGTTTTGACCGACACGGTTATTACTGTTCTACTCTGGTTCTGTGAAATTGAACGGAATCTTGTTTACGAGTAGTATGTTTCCTTTACGATTACTGAAGCTACTGCACCACAGTCGCTTATGCACGGAACCAGTCGTCTTTGTTTTTTATACAGTCAAGACTGATGTGTCTGAACAGGACCTTAATCTTTATCGCAACACGTTCAGGAGAATATTTTTTGTTTATATAAAGTTAAATGGGTGGATTTATTTCTCGAGTGCGACTATTGATGCAAGATTTTAAAGTGACTGCACAGACGAGGTATAGAAGTAGACATTTCATCTAGTGTATTTTTACGGCCCATTTTTCTGAGGCGACTTCGCCCCATCTCCATTTTAGCGTCACTACCCGTCGCAGATTCACCGTTCTGATACCGTAGAGGTCGCTAAAATCACAGGCTATTAAGGTGTCGGTACTACAGTTTAGATAAACTACCAACTCCCATAAGATGAAATGTCTACTCTTATACCTCGTCGGTGGTGACAGTATCATTATGTTTCAGTTTCTTGAGATAATCAGTGCGATAAAGATTAAGCATTAGAGAACTGCGTGAACTGTGATATGTACTTCCATTGATTCTCGCAGTACCATTGAAAAGGGATTCAATATTCTCACAAAATATGATTAACTAACTCGAAAGTTGCTGTATTCATGATTGATGGATACATAGAAAACAGAAAAAAAATTGTCCCTTCTAATAATCGTTAATGCATTGAAGACTTGATGTGAGGTACACAAACAGTTATACACGCAGTGAACAACACAATATACAACAGTTTTAATTGATATCAGAGTTAACTGAAACAGGTACAATATCGTTACATCAAATCTTTATTTTTAACCATTCGCTTAATACAGGCCTGGCCAAACATTCGGCCGTGGAGCCGCATAAACAATAACACCAGCCCCCACCACACGCTTCTGTTCTTTTATCCTCGGGCAGGAGGTGCGCGCGCATGCTGATCGTTTCCACTTTCGGCACGTCCGAAGTCCTTACTCATCGGTTCTTGGGGGCAGATTTTGACATAGTGATTAGTGGAAGTGGGACCGTCAGCATGCGCGCACCTCCTGTCTGAGGATTAAAACACGACAGAAGTGAGTGGTAGGGGCTAGTGTTATTGTTTATGTGGTTCCACGGGCGAATGTTTGACTAGGCCTGGCTTAATACATAGACGATATACTTTTTCGTACTGGTCGTTATGGGATGCGCTGATTTACCGTTTTAATTAACAGTGTGTTCATCGAATTGAGTTACCGTTCATAATGTGAGTTATTAATGTTGATAGATATACTGTGTTAGGAACTGAATGTCGCTTTAATTGTGCGCGGCGCTCCCAATGGCTAGCGACACTACATGTAACAGTACAGTTATTGATCATTAATCTGAAAGAAACGATTCATTTGCTTATAAGCATTAAACACATTGAGTGACGAATAGTATAAGAACAATAACTGTACAGTCATTTCGTGTAGCTGTTTTGTTTTTTACGCGTATTTTTGAATGTGAGACTTACTAAATATTTATAGGAACTTTTTCGACGAATACTCTTTGTGATCGATGTTTAAAAAAGGAAAGTTCATTTCTTTATGGAGACCGTTAGCAATAGTACGTTTCTGTGCGTGTTTTTGTTTTTTCTTTTTTCAATAGCGTTCGTACATCTTTTTGTCGTTAGATTGTTCCCATGAGAAACGAATGATTCAGAATGTCCTCTCGATAGGAACATACATATTAGACATCAGAGGACCGTCCGAGAGAAAGATAATGCTGCAACTTTGTTCGTTTTGATTTGCCATTTACAGAGGTGGGGGTGTTAACGGGAGTGGAGGAGCCGGGGATCACAAATCGTCTCAGCATAATCAGCAATCGACAGGTGGACGAGTTGAGCACCGTTCTGGACTCGGAGATCAACCTGGCCAGTACGCGACTCTGAGCAAACAGTGCAAGACGTTAGAATCCAGTGATTTTTACTGAGGGCACGCCCCCGCAGGGCCCGGTAAATACTAATTTTGCTTCCTATGAATCGATCATTGCCCATGGTTGCAACCAAAAAATGAGTGCATTCAAAATAATTGATCCAGGACCCATCTTGGACTATCAATCAAATCATCTTGGCCACTGACAAAGCTAGGAATACCTTAGCTTTCTAATTAATATAAACGTGTACCTTGAATTATATGAAATTGTTTTGAATCAGGTTTTATAAAAAAAATGCTCCTTTCCGATTGCAAGGGTACCCCTTGTACGAGTGTAAATTTTGAATCACAGGTAGTGAACCACCTTGGACACCGAGCGTGGCGTCTTTCACCGGTACCCTGTCTCACAATTCGCACGGACCTGCGCATCTGGCCACATTCCAAGATTCTCGGAAGACGCAGACGCTAGATCCGAAGAATCTAGCGAATCTGAAGAGAGGCCCGACACCGGCTTGGAATCAGAATCGTCCGCTGCCGCCTAATCCAAGCAGCCAGCCGACATGGGAATTCGAGTCACGTTCCCAGACCAATATGAATCAATTCAGGTCGCTGGTACGCAATAAAGCGCCGAACATACGCATTCAGGATCAAATGCAAGACCAGGTGCGAACATTGGACAGAAATTTCACGAGGAATCAGTTCAATGGCGCCGCTCAAGGCAACGCTGTGCCGAATATGTACGGAACGTACAATCGGGCGCAGTCCAGGCAGGATAATAAGGCGACGGTGGCTACGTTGAGCCAAGTACAAGGTAGCGATCCTAACCTGTACGCTGTCACGGAACTGTAATCGCGATATCGAACCGTGTAAACTGCCATGTTATAATTGGGGTCCAGAAAAATTTCTGTTTCTAGCCCTTAGCGATCGTACGATTGACATTAACAGAGGGTATGGACTGTTATTTTGTTGTACAGGGCGTATAAACCTTGTAATTACAACGTCTTGGGTAACTTGGAATTATCGAAGAAAGTACAGATGAATGAAATTTTTATCTGAACAAGCAATCTTGCGTAACGAATAACCTCATTATTCGTTGTTATTCCAGAAGATCGACACAAATCCAATCGCCTAGGCACACATTTCATTCTTCTTTCGAGATCAATAACTTTTTAACAGCCAACTCATTTGGTCCTGTTAGTTGTACGATCGTTGACGGTTAAACAATCTCACGGACCCGCACCACAATATCATCATTTTCGAGAAGCATTTTCGAAAACGTGTTCTACACCTTTTTACCGATTTACGTGCGTATGTTTAAAATATGCATTTTCGTTTTATAAGGTACACCCAGTAAAAGGCTCAAATATCGTTTGGTAAACTTTTTGATATGGTGACATTTATATACGTTTAAACGTAAGTTTCGAACATCGGGAGTTTTATACAATGTGGGAAATCGGTATGGGGTACTTCGCACCTCAATTATTATCTCGTAATAAATCTTGGAGGGGGGGGGGTGAGGGAGATGTATATCGATATATCTCAACTTTTGTAGAAAGTTTGCACGTTGGAAGTTTTTCTCAACGGTTTCCCAATCAAAAAAAAAAAAGGAACTACAAATCGGTTGCGTTTCGGGCAACATTTTCGAATTTCAGCGGATACACCAACAAGCAAGTGGCGATACATGATCGAGGTCTGTTTGTGACGCGAGGATGAGAAATAGGGGGGGCAAAATATGCTCGAAATCAAAGAGTTTGGAGGGAGAGAGGCGATACTGCGTTGTAAAAATTCGCGTGGAAGATTGAGGCTGCCAAAAAAATTTGGAGTAATTCATTTACAATTGATAACCGAAAAGGAAAAAAATATGCATTTAGATTAATAATATTGTATGGAAATTTTCTGTGGAAATATTGAGAGATAAATAGAGTGACCCGGATTCTTAACATCGTTCAGTATCGTTGAGAGACGAGGGAATGATACCGCGAAGAAGTGGGTCGTGTATATCCGCGATTTTGTACTTGTATATCGTGTACAGTGATTATATCCTTTTACGTTAGCCGATATTTCTGTAAATGATCGTTGCTTCTCGACTAAGAGGCACACGAACGGACGAAATAACCGCCAGATACTGGACAATTAAAGAAAAGGATCGTCATCGTCGGATTTGTTGCTTGTTAGTTCTTCAGTTTCAAAGACTACAAACACATGAGGATGCACAAGGTTTAGCGTATAGATTGCCTATTGAATGTATAACTAATCAGATTTGAAAATATCCCTGTCGAGCAGTATTATCTGTCGCGAGTTCAACGAAGTTCAAAGAACTTCAAGTTTAAGCAAAGTATCAATATCCCAGTTCAAATAGTCTTCAATCAAATAAACGCATTTGAAGTGAGGCTCTAGTGAGGTCTATTGGGCCCAAAATGGCGGATCATCATTTTCTGTCCGCAGGGATTGTTTCAAACTTGTCGAGGTATGCTGTGAAGCATTTTTAACCCTTCATGAGCCATTCACAAAAGGATGTGTCCGATGGCTTTTCAACATCCAGTTTTCAATTGTTATACGTAATTAACTTCTCGTGGCCTACTGCTTTTCCTTCTGTGAGTTTTCGAAGATTGTTAATATTTGTACTTTTTCATACGAGTCCCATTCCTGTATAGACATTTGTGTTCATTTTTATATCGAGTGATATTGTTATACTGCTCTGTAGGGGGTTAAATTTTTTAATCGACATTTACACGAACACACAATCACAAACAGCGAATACGCTGGACGCGATACGTAACCACAGACCATAGATCACAGATGGGCAAAATTTTTCGACGAATAACTCGGTGATGAATGGAAACAGTATATAAAGATTCAGTATATTTTTTTTCACGCAATTGCTAAATAACTTTGTTATCGTTCAAAATGAAAATTTTGTCGCAGTTTGTAATTAGAATTGTATAAATAACACAGACAAAACTTTCTATTACTCGTCATTCAATGTGTTTATATAATAATTTTTACAATAATATAACGATTTTGCCCATCTCTGTGACGGACACGGTTTTTTTATATACTTTTTACACTTTTATCGAATAAAGAATGCGCGCGAACGTGACTTTCAATTGAGTTGTATGTACGAAACATTTGAGTATATACACTTTACATGTCTCTGCGAGGAATATACAAAACGATGGTAAACAATAGTTATTAACGATCGTTCACGGACTAAAAGATTTAAAAGATCGTGGATTATAAAAAATAACGATTCAGCCAATACTCGGGCTAGCATACGTTTTTAGTACAAACACGATGAAGGCGCAGATGTTTTGTATTGTGGCCTATAGAAGTGTCCAGACTTAACATTTTTTCCCGAATGCATTTTACGGAAACATTTCCGATTATACTGTGTGCAAAAGTTAATTGTCCTCAATAATGCATTAACTTTAAATATTCTCTATGTGATAAGAGGTTTCTTATGCAATATTGTAACTGAAAACTTATAGAATAGTGTCGTCGACGGACATTTCTGCACGCCACCGTACGTCGTTTTTTAATTTTTTTGTGTTTATATCACAGAAAACGTTCTACAATTGTCTGATGTAACGACCATCCACAGCGAAGCATATTTTAAATGTTACCTTCGGGAATACGTCGACGGGATTTAGTTTTCCTTGGAACGTACAATCGATGAGAATACCATTACGTTACTCTTAAAATTAGAATTTAATATTTCACGAATTAGATGAATTCTAAATCGAATCGAGAGGAATGTTAAGAGACTGATTTCGTTTATATTAACCAATGTTGGTCGCTCAAAGTCGCGTCTCAGAGTAAGTCACGTTCAAAGCGATTTGTTTCTATCAATTTTTGTATTTCTACAAAGCAAATAAGATGGATGTGTCTTGTTCGAAGTATAAAGCTGGTGACCAAAGCCTCTCAGTAACGGTTCTGAGAATTATATGTCGTTCTTCGATGGTATTCTCATCGATGACAGAGCAAAGTTCTCTGAATGCTCAGGGTGTCGTCGTGCCCCAGAGAAAATAGAAAATAAAAGATTGAATTATTTGCGGAGCGCAAAGTCTTCCTGTACGACCTTGTCGAAGGCCCAACGATCATTCAATGAAGATTTAATTGCAACGAAAGCGGCGGACGGCTTTATATTCCGCATCCTATTCAGCCAAGCGTGTAAATAGAGACAAACATAGGACAAAACGTGTCGTCTGAGAGAGAAAGAGAGAAAGAATAAATGCGTGAGAAGGAAGGATGTTAAGTGTGATATATCGAACTTTGAATTTAGGTGTTACAAATTTCACTGAGATACAAATATCGTTTTCTTCTACCGTTTCGTTTCCACCGTTTCTTCATTCATCATTAGACTGGAGAACATTATAGAAATGTATATTTGGGAGCTGACGAGGAACCCTCCAATCAAATTCGTTCGTGACAAAGAGAGCGAACGGGACACATGAGATCGAGTAAGATAGAGCAATAACAGAGTAAAATCACGTGGTAGTGACGTAATAATGACGTTCGTCTTGCAGTGCTAACCATTGGTTGGCGAAATATCCCTCTTGCCCCTGTGCCGTTCTGTTTGCTTGGGAACTCAACAACTCCCAACTGTATATGTTTCTGAACTATGTAATTTAAAAATGTTAGAATCACACGAAAATTTATCATAATATACGTCATTGAGGGGTCTCCTAAGATACGGAAGAAATGATATTATAAATATTAAATCGCTTCACTATAGTAAATTTAATCGTGTATACTATAGAGACATTACAATCCACAGTCTACTGATGATGTACGAAGGAGGGACTTATTTGTGTGTGTCTCTTCCTGGTCGGAACGATCACAATGACCATAAACGAATATAGATACGTGTTTAAATCTCGTATTAATTTGTCGAGTTTCTAGATGAATCGATGGCAAATTCTCAGTTTCGCAACGAGCACGGGAAACGGTGTTAGGTAGAAGAAGCCATGATTAGGCGTAAACATTTGATCTAACTTGTACATAGTTGTAATATTTATTAAAAGAAACAAAAATAATAAGAGGCGATCATAGCGCATATAGGATTAGAGAACACAGTTAGTTCTAGCCGTTAATTGAATTTAATGTAATCGTAAGGCGCTCGATTTCGAGATCGCATAGAGGAGGGGGGACGAATACGAACGTCGTCGCCTTTCAAACTGATTGAAAGAGGAGAAACATCCTAGTCAGTAACAAACAAAGCTTTTTTTTTTTCTTTTTGTACACGTTCGACTTCTGTCCAGGCGTAAACGAGGGATCTCTTGCCAAATTTCTTTCAATGTAGCTCAATTGTTTGTTTTATTTTTCGTTTCAATTTTCGATGTAGAGAATTCGCAGTCTTTCTCCGATCATTGTACCGTTACTCTATTGCTAATTATGAACGGTAACATTAAATAGAGGGAGGAGTAAAGAGATTTATTCAATGCGTCCTTGTGTTGTTCGCCCCGAAACAGTCGATATTCATTTAAATTTTTCAGGACTGGAAAGTTCGCCGGGAGCTGTTATAAATAAAAGATAAAGAATGATCGATACAATTTCTTGTGCATGACGTTTACGTCTAATTACCATATTCCAGACTTAATTCCTCCTATTGTAATGGTAACACGAATATTACAAAAAGACGAAATAAAAAACATGTAAAACATAATCGTACAGGTTCGTGCGATTGCGTTCTATTCTTTTATTTCATATTCTAACGTGTTACAAAATTTATACTGTCACGTCATGTTATCAAATAAACTTCTTCAATCCGTATTTTTCCCTATTGACAGAAGGAAGTAGATAAATATCTTCCACGGATGTGGAAATGTTCGATTTTACATTCACTCTTAATAACTAGAGTAATAAATTCTCAGTTCGCCAGCCACGATGATACCAGTGTACACATGACTTTACTCGATTGCAATACTTTATTACAACAATTGGTACATAAATATACATACAGCGTAATTTCTTTTTCACTTAACCGTACCTGTCAACGATGTATTGAATACTATAGTAATTGCGAACATTTTACCAGTGTTGTTTAAATTTGACAGGACTAAAGTTCCCACGTAAATTACATATTATTATGCGGCAACAATTCGAGCTGTTCGAATGTAAATCTAACAAAGGTATTGCGCAGTGTTTGGGCCTAATCGATGACCTAAATGCTTTGCGATAATCTTGCAAGAGTCTCTTTGGTTAGTTGTTATTTTAATCTTTTAATTAGATGTTTCCCTCGACGCGTTTCGTCGAAGTCTCGGAAAAAGCTTAGCTGTTATGAGTAACGTTAGAACGCGCGTAGGGATGTTTTCTCAAAATATCTCGTCGTAATCGTTTATACGTTGTGCTTTAAGAGAGAATAAAAATCGTGTCACTTTGTACGAACGTTTTAAATGAAGTATCGTGGTAAAGTAAGAGTGAACAGATTTTGGTTTGAAATTTACTCGAAACATGTGTGCACTTAATAAAGTGCACGCTCTATTAACGAAAAACTTAGTCACCTACTTAAATTTACTTTAATTTTTAATTTGCATTAGTACATTGGTATGTATTGAACTAACTAAATTGAACGTAAAAACATTCGGGATTGTATCAATAAGATGACTTATGAGTAGACTGCAGATGTATGTGCACTTATCCTGTGTTGGAACATTCATTAGATACAATGGAAACTTTAATAAAGTAAAGTTGCATTATTCCTCATTTTACGTAACTAGAATAAAGGAAATTATTTATTATAACTTACGAGAAAATGACCGGGAGCGGAGCAAAGGTCAAAGTTTTCTGCATTTTAAACAGAAACAAATTGATTCCAAGTTACAAATCTCCAGATTCTATCCTCGCGAATCTATAACCATGTGACTTTTGTGGACATCCACAGTCTATTTACAAGACATATTCCTGACTATTGTGCTGTGAGAAATACTTTAATCGTTAATTAGTATCGAAATACTTATGATCGAGTTCATTGGAAAAGTTTAGACTCGTTACCGGGTTTAGTAAGTACACAAGCCACATTTGACAGATCATAAGAGACCTTCCGAAACTAGAACCTCCGTTAAAATAGGTGAAGAGAAAAGAAATGCTGTTCGACGGAACGTGATAATGAAACAACGTAGAATGTTTTATTCAGAATAGAATGACAAAACGATGGCATGTTTACCTCGATCGAGTTTACCAAGCTCTGCGATGCATGCTTTAGGGACTAATGCTTTGCTCTGCGACTGTAAACTGTAGCTCCTTTGGGAAACGTTTAGCTGTTTCATCCTAAAGCATTCCTTCGTTCGCCAAGTCCGAGAACTTGACTATCATCTTTTTTTTTCGATCAAAACAAATATCGTCTGTTTACTACGATTTCACCTCACCCGATTCCTCTTTCACCTGCGGGTGGGAGGCGGTGTTTGAAACTACAGAGACACTTTTTCCGCTTTGTAAGCTGGAATGGCTTGACGAGCGACTGTGACTTTGGCTCCCTGCGCCAACTGGTGTTTGGACCAAAGGTTGTGGAGGTGTTCTAGCTCCAGACCCATTGATCACCGTCGAATTGGGTTGCAGTTGCATGTGATATTTGTATATATTCTCCGTACTCTCGACAACGCCTATATTTCAAATTCGTTTTCCTTTGTAAAGTAATATTGTTAGAAGAGCGTGGAAGTAAAATAATTACCAGCTTGGAGATTCAGACTACGTCCACGAACTCCAGTCTCCTTCGATGGGGGGCTCCACCAATTGACGAAAGTTCCAACCACAGGCACGTGCCTCAGAATACCTTCCTGCCACAGTTTTTCCGCATTCTCCCTTTCTAAATCGGTCTGGGCTGCCTCAATGCCTCTTTTTACCACCTCGGATATAGTGTCCAGTAACTTGGAACTGGCTTCCACTTCTTGACCAACTTGTAGGACTAAAGACAATAACTCTGCTACGTCTGTGAAAAGTATCATCTTATACGATCACGAAACATTAAATATAAACGATTCTCTATATTAAACCACTAATTCCATTACTTTCTTACGGTACAGACGGACTATTAATACTGTAACTTTGGACACGTGCAAACTGGTAAAGGTTACCTGTGTCTTGTGTAACCATCCCAAATCGCACGCAGGCTAGCCCATCAGCTCCTTCACCCAATGAGAATGCCGCGTCTGTGCTTCGTAAAGCTTCCACCAATTGCGTGTTTAATCTATTCAATTCCTCTTTTGCTTGGTCTGTCATCACATGAATCCAAGTGGGGGGAGCGTAACGCACACCGCCAAGACCTGCCCAACCTGGCATTTCTACCAAGTGCAACGAATCGTTTTCCGAAACTAATTTCACGAATGTTTCTTTATGTTCGACTGTTGCCAGTAGTATTTCCTGTCGAACGCGTGATAGGAATTAGTTTGGAAAAATACAGCTAGCCTTGGCAACCATATATAGATGTTACAGTTATATGAACTCACTATCTGCTGTTCGAGGCAAGCTACTACGTTATCTATATCCTCCGTTGAGGGCGGTTCTTCCGGGTTCTCTAGAGGACAAATGCGAATCGCAACTCCATGGTGTTCAATTTCACAGAGCTCTATTTGTACATTCTCGATATCTCTTTGAAGAATCTGTCCCAGCCAGGAGTTTAGCTTGTCGTAATACGGAGGAACGCGTTCCGTCGCCTGAGAATCCCTGTCCGCAGGCACGAATTGAAACACTAAAGCGCTGGCTACTGCGTCGAACAGTTGTGGACTATTCACAGGGTTCGTTAGGAGGTCATTTATCGTATAGGAACCTGTTTCGCCTCCCGGTGGTTGACTCTGTAAAGAAGGTTACATAATAACAATTATGATTTATCCGTAAATCCACAGACGATGTGTTGTCTTCATAAATTACCAATATCCTTATGCACGTGAATTTCTTGATTTTATTATACAAATCTTCCACAGCCAAAAAGCATCTTTTCAATCTGTTATGTACACCGTCTCGACCTAACGCTTGTAAAGTAGCCCACAAAGGCAGTGTTGGCAAACGTCTTGACAAAGAGTCCGCCATTAAACCCGAGACCAAGGATAAAGTTGTGTCCCTTGGAGTCGGTCGACCACCTTTCGTGTCTGTTAATCTGTACAACGTCTATTCGTAATGCTAAGGATCATTTTCTTCGATCTAAACACTTGCGTGAAGTTTTCTGTACTTATTTAAAAGGATACAACTACTGGCAGAGATGGTATACCAAGCCAAATACCCAAAGGTAATGTAATACTATCCGAAACCTTTGAAGGCTGAAATCGAAAAACACTTTATTATATGTATTCTATATGAAAGAATACATGAATGAATGGTAAACATTAATATACCAAATCTTTTGCGGAACTATTTAATGCTAGTGCGGCCAGAGAGTGTCCTCTGAGATGGAGCCAAACATTGTACTTATCACAAATTGCACGCAACCTAGCGATATTGTCACAATGTCCTGTTAAAACAGAGCCTGCTTCAGCTAACACCAGCAACGGTGTCACGCTATTTGATTGCGTGTCTTCCGCCAAACGTCGTTCCAAGGCTGACACATCCATACTATACCTTGACCCAAACATGGTGTTATGGGGGATGGGTCTTACACAATGAAGTGGCAAAGAAAGCTGTAATACAGAAGATATAACTTCTTACATGTGTTTGACTATGCCAAGTATCACAACTGTAAACATTGAACTCTCATATTACACACAACGTCTTTAGCTGCTCTTCAAAAAATACAAGAGATTCGTACCTGTCTGCAGAGATGTTGGACCACGCCTGAAGGCGCGGCTACAGAACTATAAATTAAGGGTGGCGAAGCGGCAAGGGCAGTGAAACCCTCTTCCATGTACCGGGGATATTTTCGGTGCAGAGCTAACCTGGTTACTCTGACCAAACCTTCGAGGTGATCCTCGTGAAACGAGGAAGCACAATCGACGAAACGAAAGATATGGCTCAGCCATCTGGTTGTGTCTGCAGCCAAACGGACAGCTAGCTTCTGAGCATGGGATTTGGGAAGTGCGAGCGCACATGCAGAAATAGTGTGCGTAATTAGTGCTAATTTCGCTGGTTCTGTTAACGTTGGTAAAGTAGTCACTTGGCTCGTCGCTGTTTCGGATGAACCATCTTCTCCTGCCTGTGGAGCATCTTCATGAATCACCAGGTCCTGGAAGTCATAAAGTAGTTTGCTCTTGGTTTTTATTTCATGACTAGAAACAACCATAATGCAATGAATGTTAACCCTCCGGAGGCCAACATTTCCAGCGAATGAGTGGTACACCACGATTGGGTTAGACTATATCCGAATTTTTTTCTTACTCCATCTGATATTTTATGTTCTGAACATGATTTTTTAAAATACTGTGTTCCGAATAATATAATAAAGAGGAATATATTATTTCCGACATTGAAGATAAATTCGGTACATGGCTTTGGCAAGTATCGTATCTGAATTTATATTGTAAGTATGACAAATCGAGATTGAAAATTAAAGTTGACGAAGGGTAGAATGTCCGTTAGATATGATAGTCAACAATTTCCGTGTTGTATTTAACTGTCCAGACTCTAGAAATGAGGGAGGAACGTGATCAAATTCACGAGCAGAGACATAAGTTTTATAAATGTTAAACATGAGATGTTTGATATTTAAAAAACGCCGCCAGTTTACGGCTCCGCAGCGGGAATCGACCGATTCGTGGCAATCGTTCAACCACGTGATGGCTGCTCGCCGAGAATCACAAAGACACGAGCCAATCAGGAAATGAATCCATCGGAATCAACCAACGACCGCGTACCAATGGCTTCTGCTAGCGTTGTATTTACCTGAATCAAAGTTAATATCTCGTCGGGGGTTTTCGACTGCGACAGGAATCCTGAGGGATTGTTCCAAGTGGTACCACCACCGTCGGCCGCCTTCTCGACGGCTTTCTCGAGCCTCGATATCACCTGCGAGGCCTGAAACTCCAACTCGGTCACTTGATCCGACGCAGACCCACCTCCGGCACTGACCTGTCAAAATCACCGAAAATTTGATTCGGATAACGAGTCACTCGTGTCACGATCTCTCTCGACATTTCGAAAGGCACTATTACGTTATCGAGCACTGTCCTGATCACGGCTGACACGAACCTCGAGTATGTTCTGCGCTATACTTTCCATCGTCGCTTTATCGTTTGTGTCAGTCTCCTCGGCCATCGTGGCAGTAGTCGTCGTGGCGCAGTGCCGTCGCACTTTCAGCCTCAACTCGTTCAATGGAATAAAAAAAATTTCTCGCAGTATTCCCCCTCCCTGAACCGAAATAGATTTTCTAGAATCGAGTACACTTGAAATGGTAATCTGTGGATTGGATACTAGTTTTCAACACCTTTATAACTATTTTATGAATTGGATGAGGATTGAGATCGTAAATGTAATTGCTACGCCCCTTATTTTATCGATACGACTGTTATCGCAGCGCCAGTTGTTGAATTCGTTGATTAACTTCAAATGCATCGTGTTTTGCATATGAATCGGCTTACTTACCCAACTATTTTCAAACAATGCGAAGCGAGGAATAACACAACCGGTTGCAAGAAAATTAATGACACGGAAATAGAGCAAGCAGTATATTAAACAAAAGAAATGGTCGTTGAGGATTTAGTTCCGCACGATCGATCGATAGAGTTTTTCGATACGTGGCTCCGCATTAGAATGAACACTTGTATGGACAATAATTATGCTATCATGAAAATAAATGTTTATTTTACGTGTGTCTTGAAATGAAACGAATGACTATTCTTATCGGAGTAAAGGTAGAGTCGACAATATTAGTGAATGTCAACTGCTGAATGGAATTAACGAAAGCGTCAATTACAGTCTTCGTTTATTGTACTTAATTTGTATTAGTTTTAGTAGCAGTTAATGAAGTAATTGAGATAAACAAAATATATTTTCAGTAATAAATAGTCGAATACAAAAGAATTGTTTCTTTATTTTTAGAATAAACATATCTTAACTGCAATTTTTTATTAATATTTCAAAAAATAAAAATATTTCCTAGGTATCACACTATTTATAACTGATGATAATGTTTGTAGGATTTGCTTTTACTAGCTTTTTATTTACATAAAGTGTTATACATGGTGTTTTATGAAAAAATTGGTAAGATTAAATTTAATCGTGTATGTATCTTACAGTAATGACTATTCACAAAAAAATACAAGAATTAATATGATATACACTTATAAACAATGCTGGTGTACAAAAGAACCTAATAATTATTTTTAGATTCGTAAAATGCATGCTAATGGAACAGGAATTTGTATTGCATTACAGAGCTAGGTAATTTCTTTTATTTTAGTCTTAAATGGTTTAGAAATTATTACAAAATACTATCAGACCTCTTAAGCGATCTCCTGGATGTAGATTTACAAACTAATATTCAAGAATTAAACGATTTCCACAGTACCACCTACTTTTGTAATGGTATCTTTTAACTTCTCTGCTTCTTCCTTTGTAATATCTTTTGTAACTATTCCTGGTAAAGCTTCAACAAACTTTTTAGCCTGTAAGAAAAATTAAGTCAGAGGAGCAAGTACATTGATACAGTTTAATTAAGTTTTGTTATATACAACTACAAAAAATCATTTAACAAAGGAAATAAATGTATAATTAATTCTTAAATATTATTTACAAATTAATACAAGTACGTTATAACTTTTTAACTTTCAGATTTGTTAGAATCCAAGTTTTAAAAGGAGTCCTATAAACATTCATGAATAAAAGGGCTATATTACCTGTACAAGATTGCAATCTGGTAATATATTCTTCAACTCTTTTATTAAAGGTATTTTCTGTTTCTCATCAAAGGCAGTTAGCTTAACTGTAAATGCAGTTTGTACTATTTGTGGTTCTTCATCTTCTTCCTGAAATAAATTAAAAATATTTATTTATTTCTCATAATACAATAATACTGTTAGTGTAATCTTGAAGAAACATTATTATACACACCACTGCAGCAGGTGCAACAGCAAAGCCACCCATGGGCATCATAGGGGCATCTGGTAAATTTAATCGTTTTTTCAATAGATCACTTAGTTGTGCTACCTCTATAAGATTTAAAGTAACAATTTGATCAGCTATCTGTTCTATCTTAGAACTAACTGGTGGTTGCTTAGTTGTATCAACTGGAGGAGAAACTAATGGTTCAACTCTGGCAGTAACAGCAGCTGCTTCAGTTTGTTGAACAATGCTAAAAGAAACAAATACATGAAAGGTTTCGAAAAACAATTATTAATGTTTAAGACTCTTAGGACCAAGAAGTTACAGAAAAACTGAGGATATTTTCAAGATAATACCTAACACCTACAAAATTTCCTAAAACATCATACAGTACAGTAAACAATACTATATAAGTATGGAATTATATCACATAAGTGTTATCAAGTGCAGTACTGTTTGTTGCCATGTTAAGTTGTGTTTATCTAATTGTATTGCATATAGTATAACAATGAGGTTATGCAATCACATTTTTTCTTACTCATAACCGTATATTCAAAAGATGTTAGTTCCTACCATTTGTGAAATTGACGAATTTGATGAATGTTTCGTCGAGTCATGAATCTTAGTGAATTCATCGTGTTTGTTTTAATGAAAGTACACGTTTCAAACTGGTATCCTCATAGGCATAGAAATATAGACTGATATATGTAGATTATAGACTGCGCAAGCCTGAAACGGACGAACAACTTTAGAAAGAGGTAGATAGCTTTCGGACAAGTTGGCATCTCTTTCTAATATAACTAAAGCCCGCAGCACACGGTGCTTGTTTCCTTGCTGGATCACGTGTGGTGAGGTCGTGGGGTCATAGAACCCCCGGTGGAGGCGCCAGAGATCCCGTGGGGTCATAGAACCCCCGGTGGAGGCACCAGAGTCTCCGCGTGGGGAGAACGTGGGGTCATAGAACCCCCGGTGGAGGCGCCAGGGTCCCCGGTGAGTGAGGAAGTGGGGTCGTAGAACCCCGGAAGCATACACAAGAGTTTTGAAACGTGATCCTTTATCGCTGTTGCTCGTACAACTCTCGAGCTCGGTCGAATGTTGCTCGTGCAACTGTCGATATGTGACTGACACTTGTGCGTGCTTCCGTAAGTAAATTATATAGTAACCCAGCAACCATGGCAGTTTCTGCAGATACTACTACAGCCCAAGTTTAAAAGACGTAGGCACAGTAATTAGTTTCTGTAGTAACCTGTTGAACCAGGCAGCTATAATTAGTATAGGATTGTACAATAATTATGCAGTTATATTTAAGACAATTCGATGAAATGAAGCTTATATTACCTGACGTATGTTTATTGGAATATACATATATACATATAAATTATAATGATATAAAAGTTTGAAATACAATATAGATGCGCTACGGTACAATATGTCGATTCGATTCAATTGCTCGTCTGTGCAGGGGGTCTCTTATGCATACTCCGGGAGGTTCTATGACCCCACGTTTTCAGCAAACGAGGTCCCTGGCGCCTCCACCGGGGTTTCTATGACCCCACGTTCTCACCACACGGGGTCCCTGGCGCCTCCACCGGGGTTTCTATGAGCCCACTTTTTTAGCCACCGGGGTCTCTTACGCATGCTCCGGGGATTCTATGATCCGTCTTACCAGGCTACTACATAGTTCATCGGTGTAGATGTGGATGGCTCATTAACCTGATATATTCTATAATAAAAGTCATTTATTCACTAATAAAATACATAAAATTTTATAATTCTAAATTATATATAACATATAATACAAAAGTTGCATAACATATTGCATTGTATATTATAGACACACTAAATACTTATAAATAATACTAAAATATTTTATTATAAATAAAAGTTTTAGACCTTGCGATTTCATTTTATTATGATACAAGTAGGAAATATTTTCATTTAATTTTTGTTTTATTACTAAAGAAGTTGCTATGTATGGTGTAGAAATGAAACATCTATGGAGAACTCGAATAATCTTCGACATCTATAACCGTTATTTACAGAGAATTGCTCGACTTACTTTAACCTTACTGAATCAACGGTATCTGAACTGTGCTTTTCTTGCAAAAATCAAAAACCTATTATCAAGTGCAATAAAAATCATGGGATGTATGTTTCACATGTTAATTTAGTACCTCTTTTTGTTACTACCTTTTATGGAAAATAAATTGATCCTGTGGAGAAATAGGCTCATATAAATAAAAGAAAAAAAGATAACTATAAAAAAGTGGGATACAGCTAAATATATACTGTTATGAATTTAACCATGTGTTAGCACACGCAACACATTACAGGATCATGAAATCTCTTTGTATTGACATTGTAACTTATTTATAAATTCAGTTGCTTTGAACACCACCGAACGTTTCACAGGTAATCGTTTTTGTACATCACCAATCCCACGAGACAAAATGCATACGGGTAAAGAAGAACTTTTTCACTTGTCAGTAAATGACTATGTATGCCCAAGGGATGTTGTAAGATTATTTGAGCCACATATACAAGAATGACGTTTCGTATATATACACTCAATATCACCACTTCGATCAGTTTTACACACTTTATTGAAAATAAATTCTCCTGGGAGCTCTAAATTTTTGGCACAAGCTTGACAGTCTACAAAAACATGTGTTATATTCTGCACTGTCACCACTAGTATTGATTCTTTTTTTTTCCAGTCTTGCATGTAGTCTGTTCCTGCAATGATTCTCTATCTACATTTTCTTCAAAGGCTAAACAGAGTCCATAAATATTATGACTTTCTTATAAATGCTGCATAATGGACGTCACAGTACCACATGTAGTAAGGGAAACTAATAACGTCACAGAGTACAAAGAAAGAATTCTGAATGAAAGTTAGAAATCACCATTTCTTCCTGCTACATCAAAAATCTAACATTCCAAGTCATACACAAATACCCTATTACGTTTATCCGCGAGAATAGTATCACTCAGCCCTAACTTTTCGTGTAATGTACAACCAGGTAGAACCACAGCGGATTTCATAAACACTTGCTCAAGATTCTTTTAAGTTATCAAGTATGGAGATTCCTCGAACTCGTTAGCTTAACTATTGCGCAAGTCACCGCCAGTAATCTTGCACTGAAGCTAAACACATGTTTGCTAAACATTTGTTTTAACTATTTCAATCAATCAAATTCAACATTCACGTTCTAATTTCATCGAAAACTGTTCTACCTGAGAGATGATATGTAGAGGACATGTTTTTATTAATCTTTTAAAGGCTACATTTGGAAAGGATTCCTTCACTTGGTCGTGTGTCGGGCCCAGGTTGTCCTTTGCACCTCGGACATCAAATCACTTCTAGAGGGTAAACGTGCGCTGGTGGTGCGCGATGGCGGCGGGCCGGGTGTTCTCAATATGGTCGCCAGGTTCTTCTGATTCTGAGGGCTCTTATTGTTCGTTCCTTGGTTAATCGAGTTCTCTTTGACCGTTATCTGTTTAGCTGTGGCCTCTGAACGTTTACCCTGAGGCGGGGGATCCAGCACGATCGGTGGTATTTCGTCATGTAGATTGATCCGATCCTGCTTACCCAATATCTCCTGGGCTAGGTGAACGGTATTCCTTTCGCCGGAGCAAGGCAGGGGCTTTATGAATGTTGTTTTCGAGTCCTGAGTCTCCAGATTCCCGCAACAATTGTCCGACTTGTGCGTCATTATTGGTGATGATGAAAAGCTGTTCGGTTGGGAGACCCGCAGTGACATTGAATTTGGAGACAGTTGAGCTGAGTTCTGCAAGTTTTTTTTTAAGGATTTATGGAATGTATCATAAATTGCGAAGAAAATATCCGTTGGATTTTCAATTCACTCACAGACGGTCTACTGCTAGGAGGTAGGAGGAGACTAGGACCCATTGCATATGGAGACGGTGTATTGTATGGTGACCTTTGAGGTTGATATGGGCTTATATTATGCAGTCTCTCCAACAGCTGCGTTTGAAACTGCAGTTGATCAGTTGTGCTATTGTTTCCTTGAAGAGCAAGCGTATTCAGGTTTCCAGAGTACAAGGAGTCTGGTGGATAAGAACAGTAGGGAGAAGGTGGGTCCAGTTCCCACGGTGAACTCTGTCCTCCTGTCCGTTGGCACTATGTACGGGATACAATATTAGAGGATTCTTCTGACATATACACGGACAACACTTGTATTAACCCTTTGCAATGTTACACGATTCTACGAATGCAAAGAATTAACCGTGTACTTTAGTAGCATTCAAAATTCAAAATTGTATCTTGGTATCGAAGTTTTGATATCTGAATTTCAGGTTTGTGCTAGGAAACAAATTTCGAACGTTAAACAATAAGAGTGCTTTCAGTACCTCAAAGATCAGGTTTTCCCGTTATTTGGGGGATGTGTATGGTAAGGATTCATAATAAACAACGTTACCTAGCATTTGTTGGTAGCGCAAAGTCCAAAGTCCCGTGCGAAGACCTGTTACATAACAGCGTCACACCGGCGCTTAGCACGATTATTGGATTAGCGATTTAGCTTTAATGCCAGCATTAAATTGCTATCTTCCTGTCGGCCAACTTAGGGCGAAACGTGTCGCGCGTAAGCGGCTGACTTTTCTCGCGTTTCAAAGGCAGCTTACCATCTAGAATCTGTTCAATTGCGCCCCTACGTAATGCGATTCTGGCGTATTTTATCACGCTTTGTGTAGAATTAAAAATACTCGGAGTACAAGGACTCGCGTTCCCTTGTATTCCTCGCGAGTGCAGTGGCGTGTTCGAAACAACAATCCAATTACGTGTCAGTCTACCCATGAAGACGTGCAAAGTAACTAGAACATCAGTCGGATTAGCAAACATTCTCGAAGGCATATACGTTCGGTCAGGTCTTACCTGAGAACAGAACACAACAACGCAAACGCAATATCGGTCCGGCACATAACAAAAATCACATCTCGACAAACAAAAAAACAATGCTTGTAACAGAACAAACCATTCCAAAAATCCGGTGTTAATTTCCCGCTGTTTTATTTCTTTTTATGCTCGAAAATAATTCAATGACAGGTGCAGAACAGAAATAAAGGTGTATATGAAATCGGTTTATTATGAAATATATATATATAAAAAAAAGGCGTCGGTACAAAAGGCGTTACGGTATAAAAAGGAAAGTAAAAACAGAAAAAAAAAGAACAGAAAAGGACAGTACAAAATACAGTGTGTTAAACGTTAATCGGAATGCAACGTTCGCAGGCACACGGCTTGCTGGCTGTCGAACACTTGTGTCATGGTATTCGATAGAGCGTTACCTGGCCGAGGTTCGACAAGTCAGGAACCGTCGTCGTTTGTTGTATGGTTGCCGCGCCTGGCATCTGCGACTGCGAGGTTATGTGACCGCTCGAGATACGTTCCTGCTCTCGTAGGTGGCCGACCAGCGCGCCAATGTGCTCCAATAGCTCTTTGTTTTGCACCAACAACTGATGTGTTCTTGTCTAATGGGAACAAGAATAGAAAACAATGAAATAATTATTATATCATTTCTAATGTCTTTTTTTCTTGAATCCGTAGCCAATGAATAGTAGACTGCGAATGCTATGCATATACAATAATTAAATGTAAGTGTACAAAACGCAATGAAATAAGAACTTGACAGTTCTCCAAATCGAAAAGATACATTTCTGTTTCAACCCTGTATTTGAAAAACAGTTTGTGAAATGGTATATTATTTACATTTACTATCTACTAATATACATATGAAGGGTTCAGAAGTCAATCGATGTAAGTCACTCTTTCATTAAAAATGACTTATACAGTGTAAATATTTTTTTACAAAAACTTTCATTGTTTATTTTACACGCAACCCAGTTTTATATGTATGTATCCTATACATATAAATCATTTTTTATTTGCTAATAGCACATATTACTTTTTACAGTCAATTTTCTAAACAATTGTATCTGTTAACTTACTTTGTGACTTACACTTATTGGCCTCTAAGCCCTCCATATATATATTTATACTTATTTGTTGTATAAGTCTGTCTACGATTAACGCAACACCCATCCGAAGATTCGATCGCACGTATCAGAACACCGAGTGCATTCTGATATCATTCCAACGATATCGAGAAACCATCAAACAAGCGTCAAGTGTCAACAACACTTACTTGAGCTTCGACGCGAGCTGCCGTTTCAGCTGCAAGCTGATCCTGAAGCAATCGCGCATGGGCAACGGCGGCTCTGGTTTGTTGACTCTGTTGCTCTAATCGCTCTCGCAACAGTTGAATCTCATGCTTCAGAGCGGTCAATTCGCCGCCAACGAGTAATCCTCCGCAATCGGAGGTTACCGTGCCCTTCGCAAACAAACGATTAAATACGGTTTACAGAAATTTACACTTTCCTTCGATGTCCCCAAGTGCATAAAGAATTGGTCGAAACACAAAAAAAAAAAAAAAGAACGCTCATCGACCTTCTTGTGTCGTTCTCTTTTCTTCCGTTATCGACCCCAAGTATGTACACTGACGTGCAAACGCGGCTTCCGCTAGAAGAAAAAGTGACGTAGGGGAAGAACCTCCTGCGATTTGGTTGCGGGAATAATTGAAATATAAATTAACATTCGATTTACCATTTATTTCAGTTTTTAGAATAAATTGATCAAGTTGTAGGAGGTCCTTCTCCTACGCCACTTTTTCCTCTAGCGGAAACCGTGTTTGCTCGCGAGAGTACATACAGACGAGATATAAGAATAGACCTAACATCTTATGGGACTTGGTGTCCCACGAAAATGACGCTGGTTCGAGCGCACCCCACATAAAAGTTTTCGACTTCAGGAACTACGTTCGACACCGTGATGACGCACAGCACACATACACACCTGTGACTGCATATGGGGATATACATAACATACATTATTGCCCACGCTTTGCTAGCAAAGAATGTAATACTGAAATGGTACGACAGCTTCTGACGCCCCCAAAGCATGAGACAGAAAATTACATTGCATGTTAGGTCTATTCTTATATCTCGTCTGTGGTGCAGATTCGAGTGTTTGTTCTATCTTACCGACGGCGACTGTCTTATCGGCGTGGTAGACGCTGTAGTAGCTGGGACTTCGTGCGACCTGAGAAGACATGGGACAGTCTTTTCCGGTACAGATTCCTCCGTATCTCCTAACAGCGATATATCTAAAAATCATTCGATTCACGACGGTGAACGACAAAGTATCATGCGTTTGTTCCGTGTATGAGATTAAAAAAAAAAACATTTCATTGGCCACCAATTAGTCGGTGAACGACACCATTGGAATTTATTGCACAATACGAGAGGGCCCAAGAATGTTGGAGAGGATTAATGGCAACACGGAACGAGTATCTTTACGACTAAACAGAAGTCAGAGGAAATATTAAACCTTTGTGCACAGAGGACGGCGATGGCTGCGACTGCTCGTTCGGTATTTCGTCTTGGTCCTCGTAAACGTCACGATGATTCTCCACGTGATCCCTCTCCCGTTCCTTGTCCCCTCTGTCACGGTCTTCCGTGGCGTGGTTTATACTTAATTTATGGCACACCTCGAAAGCTTGTCCTACCGTCCTGACCACCCTCATCGCTTGACTCTAACGAAATCCGACTTTTTCAATCGAACGTGGCTAAATAAGTATGACAATTTTGGAGATCGTATACAGGGTGTTTCTAAGAATAAGAAGCGCGTATGGTAAGTACAGTCGAGCACAATGTGCAATCTTCGAGACTTAGTTCATGGTTTTAGAAACACCCCCTATAATGCATACGCGGGAAGCAGAAAAGTATAGCATTGCATGTGTAATCATCGCAATTTCAAGTCGGGAATATTTACGTTGAATATATTCGAAACGTGCAAATCTCAAGCGTATACGAACATTTATTCGAGACATTGTAGAATCTGACTGTTTGACTTTTCAAACGTTACACCATTCTAAACACTCGAACGTGTGAAACTGCCGGTATATTTGAATGTTCCGAACAATTTGGGTTACTAAACAGGAATATCGACGGTAGTATAATACATACGAAGTACTAAGTACTGACGACTGAATATTTAGCACCAAATACCAAGTATTCAACATGGAATATATGCAAGTGTTGTATAACAAAGATCAAGTACTGAGTATTGAAAATCAGCCATGAAATACTGGCAATGAGTACAACAAATATTCAATACTTCAATACCAGGACCCGAAAATCCAGTACTAAGTATTGAATACTGAAAATCCAGTACTGAAAACCGAAAGTCGAGTACAGAGTACTAAGTACTAAAAACTGAGTACCGAGTACTGGAATACCGAGAATCGAGTATCGAGTACTAAAGTACCGAGTACTGCAAAAATCAAGTACTGAATACCAAAAATCGAGTACTGAAATACCGAAGATCGTAGTTCTGAAACGCACGGTTCAATGTGATTCATGACATCGGCGGAACAGTGGTGAATTCCGTGTCTCGTTTACATTTCCCATGAATCCCGGGCGTGTGTCAACTGCAAGCCTCGCGGGAGACACCTTACCCCCATAAACGATCTATCGGTGTGTCTCGGCATAGCGTGCATGCGTGCGCGCGGGATTTTACCTCGAGTTCCTCGAGGTCATCGTTCTCCTCCTCGTAGGGGTTCTCATCGAAGCTGAAATCGACGCTGGGCGTCGGACGCGCCAACTGGAGGGGCGGCGGTTTCGATTTCGAGAACGGTTTTTTCGATCTCAGATAGTTCAGGATCTCCGGCTCTTTGAACGACAGCTTCTTCCGCGGCTTCGGTGTGGTCTCCGTGCCGGATGGACTGACCGGGCCGGAATTAATGGACACCGGAACCTCTGTCCCCGCGTTGGCCTGCTTCGACGAATTCTTCAGCATTGCTGGTAGAAAGAGAGAGAGTGACGGTTGTGTCCCGGGGATTGAGATTTATTAACCGCCACTTCCTCACGGAATGCCGTGCACACGCGTCATACCGTAGGCATTTCGGTGTCTCTCTCACCAGTGGTACATATACCGAACACGACGCACGCGGCGGCACGCGCGCGCTTATCTACGACTTGGCTTTCCACCGACCGATTAGACTCGAGAACTCTATACACGTCCGTCAGCCGTTTGTGTGTGTGTGTGTGACATGTGTGAAGCCTTCTCGTTGTTCCCCTTTGAGCTCTACACGGGTAATCGGCCGAGTTCCGAACACGAAAACGATGTTCCTTTCGTTGGTTATCTTTTTTAATTGTCACTTTTGGCGGCCAATATGTCGCACGGTGTCGATGTTTGAAGATCACGCGAATCGAGACTGGAGAGGAACGTGCTTGCATTAATAACTGAAGGGTCAGGCGCAAGATGGAGCTATATCACTCTAACTATTATTGCCATGGTCGGGTCAATATTTTGAGGTATAGCGCTTGTGTATTGGGCCCCTCAATTGTTCTCCGTTGACAATTTCTTCTGTATTACGAAAAGTCACGATGCCGTCAAAGCAATCGTGACAATTTACCAACCGAGGGTGGTTATCGGACAACTAGGGAGAAAAAAGTTATCGAATGAACGGATACTCTCGAATAATCGAGGAGAAAAGTTTGTCGAATAACCGAGCCCGGTCACGAAATCACCATCGAACTGTTATATGGAAATAAAACGAAATATACATACGCACAAAAGGGCAGCGCGGTTGCGACACGATTCGCGAGTTGGAATCGCCGTTTCGAAAGAATCGATATTCACGCGTGCAGTGTGTTCCCGGTCGAATCCAATTATAAACAGCCCTCACCCCCGGCCATTGGGTCTGAAACTCTGGCGAATTACTAGATAAATCTCGCCCCGGTTTAGAAACTGACCACGGGATCCGTGCCGACAGACGTTTCACGGGCAACGATCGCAACGATAGCGAGAAACGTTTATTTTCCGCGGTGAAGCATTCGCAACGATCTAGGGGCGAGGGGGAGGGGATCGGTGTTTGGAACGTCTTTCGACGGAGTCGAGGAATTAATCTTGAGCGTGTAAATCCCACGTAAATCTTAAGCCCGCGCGTCAGCAGCGCCTCACGCGGAGCTCGACGGAAGCTGCTATAGTACACTACGGTCGTTACGACCAATTTGTTGTGTGTGCATATACATATGTTATTCCGGTTTTCGTCGATACCCACAATTCAACACAACACACAGAAAGCCGGCGGATGGGAACATAAGCGACGGTTTATTTTCTAAAATAACACGCGCGGCAAGAGCAACGCGAATTTACAAAAGCCACGATTTACCGTCTGGTCTGGTAGTGTTTCCCGGAGAAGGACCCGCGATCGTTGGCCGTTTTACATACGGGTTAAAAAAGAAAAACAAATGTATATGACGTCGGTGACTTTGTTTCTTAAAAGGTGCATCGATGTTTTTTCTCTTTTTTTTTTTTTTTTTTTTTTTTTTTTTTTTTTTTTTTTTTTTTTTTT